TGTGTTATTTGTGTTGTTTTGTGCTGGACTTTGGGACTGGTTAGATGAATTGGGTGTCTACTATCAAGTAGAGTTGTGTAGTTGGAGGTGACCTGCCTGCTGTGCCGGCCATTCAGCAGCCCTGGTGGTTCTCTCTGCTGCTGCGTTCAATAAAAGAGCATTCATTTGTGATACTGCTTCCCAATGCCAACACCACAATGTTTTGAAAAAGGTTCTTAACACTAATATATCTTGCTTACAAAAGTGGTTCTTCGAAGAACCACTGGGTGGCCAATCCTGGTCCTGGAGATCTACTACCCTAGAGAATTCAGATCCAACACACCTGACTCTAATATCAGATGCCTTCGGAAGGCCTTTGTTACCCGAATCAGGTGTGCTAGATTTGGATCGGAGCTATGGACCAAGTCTACAGGACCAGAAGTGAGCACCCTTGTTCTATGGCATCACTCTAAAGAACACTTTCTGATGCCATTTTTTTTTTTATAAGCAAGCATTTTAAATCAACTGTATTGCAAGTATATAGCTTAGATGGAAGTCATTGTGATACTGAAAGCAGGATATGTCTCTCAAATATAATCTGTCTAAACATCTAAACATTTTAGCAGAAGCCTAAAAGCTTCAGATCAGCCTGTTAATCAGTGTCTATTGTAAACCGAATGTGTAAAAGAAGATATCATGTAATCTGTAAGAGAATAATGTAAAACATCACTGCTTTTTCTTATGGACTGGTTATTTCTTGCAATAAGCAATACAAGCAAAGGACCCCTCAACTACCAGGGGTCTATAAATATGTAGTTTTTGTGTTTTGTTTGATTTTTTTAGATGTGTAGAATTCTATGGACCTGGCTCTGTCACGTTTAGCAGGCTGATGGTTATCCAGAAGGGGGCACTGTTAGCAATCCAGCTGTATAATGTCATAAGAGTGGTGCTTCGTTTCAGAGCGTTTTATTTAAAAGCATTTGGAGATAAAGTGTAACGATTCCAGTATTTCATTTTTCTTATTTTCTTTCTTAAAATGATTCTTTGTTTTATTCTCAAATGCAAAATGATATGATTAGGGTGTCCCCCGGCTAAGATGCTCATAAAGACGATTTAGTAGAAGCACACACATTAGGCTTGAGCTTTTGAACTGAGATGCTAATGATAATATTATTTTTTTTTCCCCGAACAGAACATGAGAACATCACATTTGTGTCTGATTTAATGAGTTAATGAATGATGCTCATTTGTCTACAATGTATGATTTACAAAGAACAAATTAGCCATTCTGTGGCCTTTATTTCCCCTTTCTTTCCGACTTTCTTTATTATGATGATCAGTAAAAATCAAAGAACAATGCTCCAGCGTACAAAAATGATAAGTTGTCAAAAACACTGAACACAAATCACACAAAAGAGAGAGCGAGTGCTCCATTTCTCTGATCAGAGGGTTGTGTTTCACAATCAAATGTCCTCAGTACATTTATACAAAGAAATAATTAATATTTAAGTAGGAAATGATTGCTGGTAGGGAATTACAGGCACTTTGTAGACTTACGCTTTACATTACACTGTTAGTTTGTATTATGGTGTCTTGTTTATAACATTTCAGTATATGCTGTATGACTTATAATTGAATAACACTTTTGAAAGATATTGCAAACCCACAAATGAATGCTATATGATTTTGCTTTAATACTAAGTGAATGTTTGTGAGTTCAGACCATGCCTTCATGGTGGTAGTATGAGGGAAGACTGATTGAGGAAGGGGGAGAACTCTGAGAACTCAGGCTGGAGTTCTGGGCAGCTTCTGCCTGTAGCTAGAAGGCAGAACCCCTTCATAGTTGTTGTAGGACTGAGAAACATGGAGGAGATGGGGTGGCGGTGGGGATTGTGAACGCTTTGTCACGGTAACGGAAGGTGAGGATGTGAATTTATAGGGTGTTAGATTGAAAGAAGGAGGGGTTTCAGGCGTGCTCCTGCCCCCCAAACTTCAGTTATAACATAACTACATAACATGAATCATTTATGAATGTACAGCATTGTTTTCACCAATACTGATCATTAAATCTATGATCATTATAATTTATTAGTAGTTGAACTCATTTTTTAATTATTTTGTTCCAGTTCTATTGTGATGTGTTGAGGGATTAACTGAGTGCAGACTTCAGTTTATGTCATCAGTTTCAGAGTGACAAATGAACTCACTGTGCTGATAGAGTCTGACTGGAGTCAAAGCATCGACATGATGATGATGATGATGATGGGGTTGGGGATGGCGATGATTGTAGGAAATGGGGGATTCCTTTGTGATTAATAACTTTTGACACACTTATTTGGGCTGTCACTCATTGGGACAACTGACAATGATATCCATGTTTGAGATGATAGTGGCTGACAAGGCAATAGAAGGGGTGCCTGTATGGTGCAAAAACCCACTTTACTTTTAATGTAAGTCAGTGGAACCAGACTCTTTTCCCAAAGTCCTTTTGAGTTTCTTTGAAATTTGAAAATGCCTCTTGCTCTTTACACTGTGTGTAAATGAAGAATGGACAAAAAGAAAAGGCCCAAAATGACAAAATGACTTGGAAAAAAGTCTGGTTCCATTGACTTACATCAACCCTTTAATGTTCTGCACAACCATTTGGTAGAGCACATTTTGAGTCACTATACGTGCCACAAAGTGCCATCTTAAAAATTGTGGGGTCAAAAAAACGGGGGAAAAAAATAAATAAAAAATCGTTTTTATTCTTGCCCCAAATAAATAAAAAATACAAAATATGAAATTCCATTGCTTTATTCTTGGTGAGGACATTAAAGGGTTAAAAGTAAAGTAGGATTTTTCCTTTTCCTGTAAAGTTATCATTTTGGAGATACAAGGTTTTCTTCTGACAACAGCAGCACTGTCAAACGCCAAAAATGTACAAAAATATTGTAGCATCCCTCGGCTGGTTTGCACTGTGGTGGGAGCGCAGGGAAGCGTGTCCATGCAGAGCGGCCACTCATGGAGGCTCTTAGTAGGCACCATGCTTTTTGTAGGAGAGACATCAAAAATGTGGAGTAGTTGTGTCTGTGTGACTACCATGAATGGACAATGTATGGCTAGAAGTGACCTTCCTGCTGCCTTGGCCATTTCGGTAGTGCTTAGCCGCAGCTGCCCCTTGCTGTCTGTTCAATAAAAGAGCATTCGTTTTGTTTCCCATGTCTTGTTCTACATCATTGCCATGGTATTTTGATACGACACCAAAGGAACTGATTCCACTTTTTTTGTGAAGAAAATAAAGGTGCAAAACTTGTCTTATCATCTTTGTTTCATGGCCACAGTGGTGGCAGCTTTGGGCAACTCTATGAGCCTTTCTGAGTGTCCTCTGCTGACTTCCTTTGTGACTTTACTATATTGATTGACTTCTGTGGATGGAAAAGCCAGGAAATTGCTAGGTTTTGTTACAATATGACCAATGATCTTCGGTTATCATTTGCCTTGCAGATATAATTGCATGGTGTAATATTTACGGCTGTAGTTCCAATATTTGGATGAAATCCTGCGACCAGAATGCACAATGTAAACAAATCCAAGGAAATGGATCCCAGCTGCTGCTGTGACCATGAAATGATGCTGTGCCAAATAAGGGAAAATGCAATGAACGCATTTCAGTTTCAGCGATAACGCATTAAGAGGTCAAGCCACTTCCCTTTTCGTGCCATATTTGATGGATACTGTGTTAATGAGGGTAAAGCATTAAGAAAAGCCACTGAGTCATAAATCTTTGTTGAAGGTGTTGGGAAGAAAACAGAAGGCCTCATTTGAGCAGGCTGCTCTAGAGCTTTATAAGAGCAGAGTGATGAGGAAGAGAGAGGTAGACAATAAAGGGAAGAAGAGAGAGAAAGCAAAGAGAAAGAGAAGAAAGTAGGGATGGGAGGAAGGAGAGTGATAAAGAATGAGAGAAAAGAAAGGAGAGAGAGGGATGGGTGGAAACAAAGAAATAAAAATGAAAAGAAGGAGGGGGAGAGAAAGAAAGAGATAGATGAGGCAAAGAGAAAGAAGAGTAAGATGGAAGGAAAAAGAAAGAAAGAGAGAGGGAGAGAGAAGAATGACAGAAAGGGAAAAGAGGAAGAGAGAGAGAAGGAGTGATCAAAGGAGGAAAAGAGGGAGGGTGTGTGAGACAGAACGAGAAAGAAAGAGAGAAAATGAAGAAAAAGGGAGAAAGGTGAGAGAAGAAGAAAAACAATGGGAAGGAGAGAAGAGAGTAGTGACTGTGAGAGAAAGAAAATGATAGAAAAAGAAGAAGAGAGTGGCAGAGAGAGAGAAAGAGGGAGAGAAGTGGAGGGGAAGGGGAGGGAGAGAGAGAGAGAGATAAAGGGAAAGAGAAAGGGAGAGAGAGAGATGGCGGGAAGGGAAAAAAAAACAGACAGGCAAGTGAGAAAGCGGGAATGAGAGAAAAAAAAGGAGAGAGAGAAGGAGAAGAAGAGAGAAAATAGAGGGAAAAAGGAAGAAAAAAGAATGAGAGAAGGGAGCAGTGATAAAGAGAATTACAGAAAAAGAAGAGAAGAGAGAGTGAGAAAGAAGGAGAAAGAGTAAGAGATGGGGAGGGGAAAGAGAGAGAGGAGGGGAAGAGGAGGAGAAGAGAGAAAGAGGGGTGAGAGGGGTGAGGAAGGAGTGGAAGAGAGAGAGAGAGGGGGTGATGGGAAGGAGAGAGAGAAAAGGCGATCGGAAAGAGGAGAGAAGGAGAGAGAAAAAGAAAATAGAAGAAGGAAAAAAAATGGAAAGGAGAGAAGAGAGCAGTGACAGTGATAAAGAGGGAATGGCAGAAAAAGGAGAGAGAGAGAGATGCAGAGGGTAAGGGGAGAGAGAGAGGAGGAGGAGAAGAAGAATATATAGGAATGGAAAGGGGTGAGAGAGAGAGAGAGAGAGAGAGAGAGAGAGAGGAGAAGAAAAATATAAAGGAAGGGAAAGGGGTGAGAGAGAGAGAGAGAGAGGGGGGGGCGGAGGGAGAGAGGGAGAGAGGGAGAAAGGGGAGGGGAGGGTGGTCGAGCGCGCGCACGGTGAGACGCAGCAGCACCAGTGGAAACACACCCGTCAGCGGCGCGCAGAGGGAAAAAAAAATAGAAAGAACGGAAGAGAGCGCGGACAAAGGAAACATGGACGCATCCAAGGAATATCCGCGCACATCTGAAACGGCGTTTACGAGCAGAAGCGTCGCGCACATGAGCGCGGAAAACAACAACTAGCCCCACGTTGATGCCGCGGAGGGAGGCGCGATATACTGCAGATGAAAAAGACGGAGAGCTGCTTCTAATCCGCCTGCGGATCCCATGATCTTGCGATGGCTCTCGCGGGGAAATGTAACTGCCCGGGGAGAAACGTGCCTATTTCGTTTTTGGTGATCCTATGCTGTGGCCTTGCACTCGGACAAATCCGATATTCCATTCCGGAGGAGCTGGACAACGGGGCGATTGTAGGTGACATTGTGCAGGATCTGGGGCTGGACATCAGAAAGCTCCCCGCCCGCAAGATCAAGGTAACGTCTGATGGAGGCAAACGGTACGTGGACGTGAACCCAAAGAACGGAAAGCTGTTCGTGAACGAGAGAATCGACAGGGAGGCGTTGTGCGACGCGAGCAGCTGCGTTTTGAATCTCGAGGCGCGTCTGGAAAACCCCTCCGAGGCGCACAGCGTCGAGGTGGAGGTGGTGGACGCGAATGACAACGCGCCCCAGTTCCCCAGGGACGAGTACCAGCTGGAAATCAGCGAGTCTGAGATCCCGGGAGCGCGCTATCCCATCGAGCACGCGCAGGATCCGGACGCTGGCACCAATTCAGTCCGGGTTTACCGGCTCAGTCCGAACGAGCATTTCGCGCTCGACTCCAACAAGCCGGCGTCTAACAGCAAGCACATCGAGCTCGTGCTCAAAAAGCCGCTGGATCGCGAGCAAACGCCGCATCATCAGCTGATCCTGACGGCGACGGATGGCGGCACGCCGGCCCTTACCGGAAGCACCACGATCAACGTGCGCGTTCTGGACTCGAACGACAACAACCCGGTGTTTGATAGCTCCGTGTATAAAGTGAAACTGCTCGAAAATTCGCCTAAGGACACGCTCGTGATTAAATTGAACGCCACCGATCAAGACGAGGGCACTAATGGAGAGGTATTTTATTCATTCAGCAGCTACACCCCTGAACGGGTCAGGCAGATGTTCAGCATGGACACCAACACTGGAGAAATCCGCGTCAGGAGCAACGTGGACTATGAGGACACCAACTCATATGAAATGTATATCCAAGCCATGGACAAAGGGCCAGCTGCAGTTGCAGCCCACTGCAAAGTGGTGGTGGAGGTGGTGGATGTTAACGACAACGTTCCGGAGATTGTGCTCTCTTCTTTGTCGAGCCCGGTGCGAGAAGATGCCCGTGCTGACACCGTGGTGGCCTTGATCAGCGTCACGGACCGGGACTCCGGCCCAAACAAGCAGGTATCCCTGGAGATCCCACCTGGCCTCCCTTTCAAAATCAAGTCTTTCAGGAACTACTACACGCTAGTGACCTCTGCCTTCTTGGATCGCGAGACCGTATCAGCCTATAACGTCACCCTCAGTGCCACTGATGGTGGCACCCCTCCCCTCTCCTCCCAGAAGACCATTCAGATAGATGTGGCAGATGTTAATGACAACCCACCACGCTTCGAGCAGACGTCTTACACTGTGTATGTAATGGAGAACAACGCACCTGGAGCATCTCTTTGCACCGTCAAGGCTCAGGATGCAGATGTGAACGAGAACGCCCGCATCACCTACACTGTCCTGAATGACAACAACCATGGCATTCCCGTCACTTCCTATGTGTCGATCAAGCCAGACACAGGTGTGGCCTATGCCCTCCGTTCCTTCGATTACGAGTCTCTGCGAGAATTTCACTTCCAGGTAAAAGCTCAGGATGGTGGCATTCCACCTCTTAGTCGTGTAGCCACAGTCTACATCTACGTGATGGACCAAAACGACCACCCACCAGAGATTGTGAGCCCTCCAGCTAATGGGACACGTTCTACAGAAACGGTGCTGAAGAATGCCGAAGCAGGTGCACTAGTTAGCAAGGTGGTAGCCTATGATGCGGATGCTGGGCAGAATGCCTGGCTTATCTATGTGCTGGACCAGTCCACTGATCCTGACCTGTTCAAAGTGCATGAACACACCGGGGAGATTCGCACCACGCGCCGGGTCCTGGAAGACAACTCCACCTCATTCAGTCTCACCGTGCTTGTGAAGGACCATGGTGAGCCACCACTGTCTTCCACTGCCACAATCAACATTGCAGTGATGGAGGTCCCTCCCAAGGTCACGCCAGACCCCAAGAGGATCATCAGGCCCTCACAGCACGCTGCTGTTTCTCCAATGTAACCCTCTACCTGATTGTAGCACTCAGCGCCACCACCTTTGTCTTCCTGGTCACTGTGGTGGTCCTGGCCATCGTGCGTTGCCATGCCTACTGCACTCAGCCTGGTTCATGTTCGCCCTGCTGCGTATCACAGAAGAGCTCGCAGGAGGGTGGTTCTGGAGGAGGTGGCGGTGGAGGGTCTCAACCCAACAACAATGTGGTTCTCCGCCGTGATCTCAAAGTTGAACCACACTACATTGAGGTCCGTGGAAATGGCTCTCTGACCAAAACCTACTGCTACAAAACCTGTCTGACTGCCACATCCGGCAGCGACACGTTCATGTTCTACAACACAGGGTCGGCCCATAAGCGGCACCTGGGGCTCGGAGCGCTTCTTCACGGGCGGCAGCGGCTTTGTGCGCAGACTCAGCATGCCAGATGCAGCACTACAGGTGTGTTTCACCTCAGTGTCTGTCTTTCTGTGATGGAAGGATGTAGCATACAGTGTCCTCTGCATGCAACGAGCCAAATGTTGAATCAAATCTTTATGGGTTAGAGCATATTATCCCTGTCTAATGGTTCTAGTCTCAGAGACGTGAATACCTTACTCAACTTGTAGGACCTGTCGGCAGTACTTTATAATAGATAGGAGCCTGTGTGGAGGCTTTTGACCTTGTTCTTTTCCTCTTGCAGTCTCCAACTGTGCTTTTCAGCACTCATACCGCATTAGTGTCAAATGCTAAGACTTTCTGGAGACGTGCCTCATTTCTGATGAATAAGGGATTTGCTTTTGCATTTGAACTTGTCATCAAATTTCTCTGTTGAGCTGGTTCTCTCTGCTGCCTCTCTGCCACCCAGACCTGTCTCTCTCTATTCTACTCATTCTGTCATTGTCAGTCGGTCTTTGTGTTGTATTATTATAATTCTGTTGTATTATTTGCATCCACAAAAAGGGTTCTTCGAGGATTCTTTAGTAAAGAAAATGGTTCTATATAGAACCACAAACGCTTTGCATGATCAAGGCGTTCTTTGGATCATGAAAGGTTCATCAGATTGAGGGAGAATGCGTTGTAGATGCTTGTCTATAGCACACAAAAAGGGTTCTGCTATTGTTATAAGCTTGACATTGTCACAATAGAAGAACCCTTTTTAAAATGGTTCTATATAGAACCATCTACAACACATTATCTATCAATCCGAAGAACCCTTTCATGATGCAAAGAACTCTTTAAACATAAAGGGTTCTTTGAGTGTCCATGGCTCTATGTAGAACCATTTTCTTTACTAAAGAACCATGGAAGAACCATCTTTTTTGGGAGTGTATTTTTACATGTTCTAGCTATGCTTTAATTATTTCTTGGGTTATGTACATATGCTTTAGTCTGTGCATTCTCTGTATAGGCACATTTATTGGATCTCAAGGGAGCATTAGGTAGGAACCAAATGTATTGGCACTAATTCAGAAGCTGTAAACATACTGGCATCTATATGGACAAAATATTGCCATGGATTTATATGAAACTATTGAAAGCACATAAACAACCAAGACATCAAAAAACCCTCTAATATCTGCTTTTAGCTCTCTTTTTTAGGTCTGGTTCATTGCCAGCAGTTGTAAAAGTTAAAAAAAGCGGTGCCCTAAATAGAACAGCAAGCACAGTTGTACCTTGGCAGGCAGCATTTCCGGACTGGCCTACAACAGAATGCTTTTTGTTGCACACTCATGCACACTTAAAGGGAATGTTGGTGCTGTGCTCTGCGTTTGTGTTCATCTGATACGTTTTTGTCCTTGTCTGATTGCCGTGAAGTCATTTTCAGTGGAACAGGCAGGGATACAGGAGGCCTGTTCTAACTGGCCCTTGACCCATGGAAGGTTTACATAAGGCAAAGTCTTGACAGTATTGCAGTATTAGGATAAAGAATGCACAGTCAAGGGACCAGGCTGGAGTTAAAACCACCAGTCTATAAGTAATTGTGCACTGAATCCATTGGGTAAGGCAGAAGCTTTAAGACCAGAAGCCGTCTGCCTCAGATAAGAAATTAACCTCCAGCCCTTGATTCTCTGCCTGGCAAATTAGATTGTGCGGGAGAAGGCAGTCTCTGCGCAAGCTCCCTCCCCTCTGAATTCACCTGATTAAAGAACATTATTTACCCAATTTATCTGGGGCACTCACTAAAGCCTCAGCCCAGCACATATTCCCCAACCCAGTTCTTTACTAGGACGGATAAAAAAAGACTGGCTGGATCTCCCTTATAGTCCTAGCATTGCTTGCCTGTTGCTGAAGTAATATCTAGTAATGTAATATCAAGACCTCATAAAATCTTTTCTATTTGTATTGTTTATGCTATTCAAAATGCCAGTTGACCAATAGAAATCAGGGATGCATGATGATATCACAGTCATATCAGTGCTGATTCCCAAAAAAAAGACATCCACAGCAGATTTGACTGGTGTTTTAAATTGATATTTGATGCTTATTGTCCAAAAATATCTACATTTTATTCATTTTTTCTACCATTTTAAACATGCGTTCCATTTATCTGTAATGCTAATCCAGGTGAAATGTTATAAATATTAATCAGCATCTGCAGTTATGCTCATGAAAAATACTGGATACCAGCCCACAATTCCCATAATAGATGTTGATCCAAAATATCTTGGAAAGACTTTGTGCTACAATAATTTACAGCAAAGTTTCTTCCTCCTCTTATGAAGTAACCTTTTTATAAGTGTTCTTATAACCATAACAATAATTTGTATAAGTTTGTGCACATTATGATAATGAAATGTGTTTATAGATATTTTGGACTTCAGTTCTGCCAAGAGCAGTTCAGTTCTCTACATGCTCAGTTCCTGTAAGGTCCATCGATGCTCTATGCAGTTTATTACATTATGTTAGCCCGCAGATGAAAAAGGAGTGAATTCTCACCTCACAGCTTCATAGTGGGGATGCAGTGTTGGGTTGCAGGACAAAATGCTCCTATCTGACCAGTGCCGAGTGTGGTTTCACTGGTTTCGATTGGTGGGATAGAGGATGCTAATATCACATTACAAGGGATCAGCTGGTTTCTTAAGATGATGTCATTCCATTAAGAGGGGAGTGGGGTGGCTGTTGGGTAAAGGAAGGGGGGGCTTAAAGAGCATTGTTTAGGTTGATGCTCAGATGAAGAGCAGCTTGGAAAGAGAGTGAAGAGTGGGTCATGGTGTAGGGGGGTAATAAAATATATTGGTTTTATATCTTTTAGTGTATATATATATATATATATATATATATATATATATATATAGTATATAGAGAGAGAGAGAGAGAGAGGGAGAGAGAGAGAGAGAGACAGATAGACAGAGAGAGAATGAATATCTTTAAAAACAACAAAGCAAAGGGGTTCTTGAGCATAGCAATACAACAGTGGTTTTCAAACTAGTCCTCAAGGATCCCCAAATGGTCCACATTTTTTGCTTGATCTCAACTCCTGTGGACGTCTAATAACACAAGGATTGAGGAAAAATGTGGATCATCCTGTGGTCCCTGAGAACCAGTCATAAAACCACCACCATAAAAAAATCAGTATTGGCTCTCTTAAATGTCTGGCTCTTCATGATATTGAAAGAGGAGGAATATGGCAAAAGGTGCTGGCTGGAGACAGGTTATTGTCTTGGAAGGCCCCTAGGCACAAGAGTATTTGGAGGCCCCCCTCCTATGCTATCGTATCTATGTTATAACTGTTTTGTGTAAGATTTTTTAATATTTACATATTCAAAAACCATTTGTTCATCTCACGTTTTCCACTGACCTCAGCCTTTGGGGTTTATGGCCACTGGGCACAGACCCCAAAGGCTCGGTCAATAATCCATCCCTGGCTAGAGTTAATCTGGTCCTGGCGCACAGGAGGCAGTGAAATAGATGGAGGTTAAGGATTGGATGGGTGTAAAAGGGAGGGCAGAGTAAGTGTGGAAAGAGTGGGTGATTGACTATTGGAGGTTTCAGCCCCACAAACCTCATCTGCTGGGTGACTGATGTGGCAGTTATTCACCAGAACAGCCTCTAGCTCCTTCATGAGTTTATGAGCTCTCAACACAAACACATTAACAGCAGCTCTCAGAGTCAGGGAGCACGGCTCAGAGCCTATCACCGGCTTGAGACCCCGATAGCTGCAGCTCATATCAGAATGCAGGGAGCACAGACTCACAGAGAACTCCATGATTTATTGATGAGAACCTATCTAACCCTGTCCCACCTCCCTCTCTCTCTCCCTCTCTCTCTGTCTCTCTCAGCCCAAGGGACCGAATGCTGACTGGCGGTACTCTGCATCTCTGAGGGCAGGAGTGCAAAGGTAAGCACTTTTGCTCTTCTTAGTCTTCTAAAACGGCTTCAGTCTGTACCTCCCCAGTTCTTAAACTGTATATACTTCATATCATCACTGTCAGGTAAAAAACTTTTTTAAAAATTATGGAAAAATGCTGGAAAATGCCAGCATTTAATGACTGAAAAACAATAGAGTTAATGAATGGACCAATGGAAATGAAAAAGAAGATGATAGAAATGCTTTAGGTAAGAGAGAGAGAGAGAGAGAGAGAGAGAGAGAGAGAGAGAGAGAGAGAGAGAGTAAGAGAGAGGCTAAGAGAGAGAGATAAGAGGAAGGTGGAGAGATGTTTAGTTGGCAGAGAAGATGCAGACACTGTTACCACCAGTAGCCTCGTCACATCTGCATGACCTCTATCTCCATGTGAGCCAACTGTGCTCTGTCTGTCTTCATCACACATTCTCGCATACATTGCACACACACACACACACACACGCACGCACACACACATGCTAACACAGACATCAACAACAAATTGTCAATTGTGTCAAAATGAAAAAAATGAGTATTTGTAAGTATCTACATACAATGATAATAATGTCCTACATGTATTTTCATATATATATATATATATATATATATATATATATATATACAGACTATAAGTATATATACATGTGGGACATATATATATATATATATATATATATATATATATATATATATATATATATATATATGTATCAACTAATAATTTTTTAAGCCTATGCCTAATTCTAGCCTTAACTTCAGAACCAAAAAGAAATTATTTTGCTCTTTCAGTTTTAAAAATTCAAAACATGGAGCTTTTGTTAGTAGAGTATTGGCTAATTGTCAGTTTACAGAAATCCATCCCACTGCCTGTCTCTCTATTTTGCTGCTCCTTTTTTCTGGATTTCCTATGATGTCAGGATATTTTTTTGTGCTGAAAATGCATGAAAGCAGTCACACACAAACCCATGCACACACTGGAGCATGTCCGGTAGCTAAAGGCCTCTTCCCTTCTCGGCAGTGTGGATATCTGCAGTGATGTGGTGGATATAGGTCATCAGCATTCCCTGCACCAGATACACAGTCCTTCAGCACTGAGCATGAAGGACAAGTCAGCTGATGAACTGCACACACACACATGCACACTCTCTCACACGCACATGCACAAAACACACACACACACACTTTAAAAAAGGAAGCCTATTTGAATAAACACACACTCCCAGCTCAAGTGTGCACTCTGAGAGCCCATTTAAATGCATAAATTCTCATGAAATTAGTCATCAGAGCCTCAAAATAGACCTTCGCTCCTTCCACATCACCTATACTCCACTCCTGCATCTGTGTGGGAACATACACACTAACTCAAGGGCAGAAAACTGTGTGTTAACATTGTACCTGGGCTTAGCTAACATCAATGTGTGCAAACAAGGAGAGCACTACTAACACACATATAGAAATCGAAAGAGGTCAGAGGCATATATATATATATATATATATATATATATATATATATATATATGTAGCACCACATTTTTAATAGAAAATTGCACAGATCTCCCAACAACTAAATATAATATCAGTCTTGTCCACCCTTTGCCTTCATCACAGCTTTCATCATTTTCAGGAGAATTGCTTTTTTAAGAAATTTGCTGAAATAATTTTCCACACCTTTGCTGAAATATTTTTCCACAAGAGTTCAGTCTTAGAAGTTGGTTTTGCATTTTCTTCTTCTTACAATCAAAGTAATCCCAAACAAATTCAGTGATGTTCAGCTCTGGACTTGGCCTTTTGGAGTGTGGAAATTTTTTGCCCATTCAGTCAAAAGAGCATTTGTGAGGTCACTGATGTTGGACAAGAAAGCCTGGCTCACAATCCATGTTCTAATTCATCCCAAAGGCATTCAGTGAGTTAAGTTTAGGGCTCTGTGCAGGCCATTGGACTTCCTCCACACCGAACTGGTCAAACCATGTCTTTATAGAGCTCGCTTTGTGCACAGGGGCTCAGTCATGCTGGAACAGGAAAGGATCTTCCCCAAACTGCTGCCACAAATTTGAAAACATTTAATTGTCTAAAATGTCTTTGACCCTTTGTAGCAAGCAGTTAATATGGCCATTCATTCTGGAGGTTATTACACTGGGCTAGATGTAAGCGCATGAGAAAACACAGCACAGAATGAACCTTGATGTGGCAGCAATACAGGCTCGTAATAAAATTAGCATTCAGTTTATTAAGACTGTAGCTAATCATGCAAACTGTCCATAGGACCTCCTACTAACTGCATGTACTTGTGACTCACATGGTGCGAAAGCAAAAAGAGTGAAGTTCAGTGAAGAAACAGATAACAGTGTTAATAAATCCTACAGGATTTAGGGTGTTTTTCTACTCCAGCTGAAAAACAACATTTTGAGCTGCGCCTAATCCTTTCTGTGTATCTGAAATGTGTTGAGTAGTGTTATTCTGTTAAATCCTGTAAATATTCTTTCAGTACATTTTTGAGGTTTGAGTCTCCTTCTAGCTGCTGTGTCTGCTGCTATTTAAAGTTAGGTTTCCCAACAATATACTTTTAGGGCACTACTGATAATTTATGCCCCGTTTTAACCATTTAATGTTCTCTTCAACCATTTGGCAGAGCACATTTTGAGTCACTATATTTGCCACAAAGTGCCATCTCAACCGTATGGTAGACATGGATATTTTTAAAATTGTGGGGTCAAAAAAACAAACAAAAAAAAAAAGCACCAATTGTTTTTATTATTGCCCCAAACAAATAGAAAATACAAAATATGAAAGTCCATTGCTTTTTTCTTGGTGAGGACATTAAAGGGTTAAGGTGGAAACTCCATTCAATAGTGGCTACCGCTAATCAACTTTAAATCAAGCGGAATATTTTATTCAGCCACTTTTTTAAATCTCTCCATGAATTTTTGGGTGCGTATTTAGGACTTTTCCATGCATTTTGCTTGGCCAGTTCTGTGCACAACATCCACCAGTTTCATACACAACATACAGTGGTGCTTAAAAGTTTGTGAGCCCTTTCAAATTTTCTATATTTCTGCGTGAATTTGACCTAAAACTTCATCAGATGTTCATCAGAAGTCCTAATCGTAGATAACGAGAACCAAACTTAAAACATGACACAAAAATATTAGACCTGAAAATGATCCAATATTACACATCTGTGGGTGGCAAAAGTATGGGAACCTTTTAGATTAGCAGGTCTGTCTCGCAGTGGCCATCAGGAGTCCACCATCAGGAGAACACTGAACAACAATGGTGTGCATGGCAGAGTTGTAAGGAGAAAGCCACTGCTCTTTGCTAAGGATCACATGGAAAAGCCAGAGGGCTATTGGAACAATGTTTTGTGGACAGATGAAAACAAAATAGATCTTTTCGGTTTAAATGAGAAGCGTTATATTTGGAGAACGGAAAACACTGCATTCCAGCATACCAAAACCTATCCTATCTGTGAAACATGGTGGTGGTAGTATCATGGTTTGGGCCTGTTTTGCTGCATCTGGCCCAGGATGGCTTGTCGTCATTAATGGAACAATGAACTCTGAATAATACCTGCAAATTCTAAAGGAAAATGACGGAGCATCTGTCAGTAAGATGAAACTTAGGAGACCATGGGTCATGAAGCAAGACATCGACCCTAAGCACACAGGTCATTCTACCAAAGACGGGTTAAAGAAGAATAAAGTTAATGTTTTGGAATGGCCAAGTCAAAGTCCTGACCTTAATCCTATAGAAATGTTGTGGAAAGACTTGAAGCAGCAGTTCATGGGAGGAAACCCACCAACATAACAGAGTTGAAGCTGTTTTGTACGGAGGGCTAAAATTCCACCAAGCTGATGCGCAGAACTAATCAATAGCTACTGGAAATGTTTGACAGTTATTGCTGCACAAGCAGGTCACATCAGATACTAAAAGCAAAGGTTCACATACTTTTGCCACTCACAGATTTGTAATATTGGATCTTTTTCAATAAATAAATGAGAAAGTCTCATTTTGTCTCATTTGTTTAATTTCATTCTCTTTATCTACTATTAGGACTTGTGTGAAAATCTGATGAAGGTTTAGGTCGAATTTATGCAGAACTATAGAAAGTTCCAAAGAGTTCACAAACTTTCAAGCACCACTGTAGCTTTTCCTGCACATAATACTTAAATCAATTAAATCTGAATTATTTGGTCTAAATAAAGGTACTGAATTTTAACGTAGTCATAGAGTTTCAAAACAATCTTATGCACTTACGGGCATAATTAGGCTAAAACCTCCATATGACCCATTATCTCTCAGACCATGTTCTTCCCTGTTGTTTTCAAACTGTGTCTGACTAATTTATAATTCAGTACCATTATTTAGACCTAATTATTTAGATTGAATTCACTACATAATCTGATTTGTTTGAAGAATTGAGTTTTTACCTTTAACAACTTCCTATTCTATGGCCAGATTTTATTTGTGCCACTGCAGAGTAGAGGCTAATTTCCAGCTTCAAATGATTTGCCGAAATCTATCCCACTCCCGATCTCTCTGTCTCGCACATACACACAGAGCATGGGGTGCTGGACACACCCTGTGCTGCATTGCAGATGCCCTGCTATACCCACTGCCTCATAGCTGCACATGTCTTACATTCATTATGGATGTATGGAACACTATGGCAGAACCCAGCGCCTGGCAGTCGTACGGGTGCTTGTCTAGATTGTGGTTGCCATGGCAATCAGCACTGAGGCTGTTTGAGGACTGAAGGCCTTTGCTGTCATGCGCATGGAGAAAGCAAAAAGACCTTCCTTATAAAGCTGCGTTTAATGTGCTGCACTGGAGTGGCGCGTATATCATTCGTTTTGCAATGGTTTTATGTGAATGCTCAGTTTTATAGGTGTTTATAGTGCTTCTACTGGGATAAAATAGAAACGAGAAGAAGAAGAAGCAAGAGTTACAAGGCTGAATAAGGCAGCAGAGGAAAATAAGATAGTAAACCGATGAGAAGTAATATGATGGCTTTTAGGGTGGGCTATTTGAACATATAGTGTATATGATAAATTACAGCCAGGCTTCCAGTTTAAGCCATAAATGTCAAAACTCTGTCGAAAACAAAAACATCTCTGTGATAATGCAAATTTTTGCTAGCACCTGTATGGAGTTTCTAATAATATGTCAGCACTAAAATAACTGAACATGTTTTGATCATTCTAGACTAAACATGGTCATTTGAATCTTGTGAAAGACATTCCATGTTTTAGTTCAAACCTCTTATCAGATATTGTGCTGTTATTATATATTTTACTTTATATGTTGCGGTTTTCTTCAGTAAAGTGTCCTGAAATTGAGCTGCCGCTGTTTTCAGTTTTTAACGGTTGACTGAAACTTGGTAAGACTAGCGCACATATTCAGTCAGTGATGTATCTAGAACATACAGAAGTCCAAAGATGAACTCTCAAAATTGGTCCGCCCCCATGTAAATCTGAACATGATTATTTGATTATTTTCTACTGCCACTTCCTAATTATGGTGGTAGTTAATCTATCAAATAAGATCTTCAGTTCAGCTCCTGAAGTCCTAACCAATGGGAGAACTCACTTGGCTGTATCTACCCTGATAACCCAGTAAATAAACTGACTGGGCAATTTTCATTTCAATTTGGACGTTTCAAGATTTAAGCCCTTTTAATTCCAAAAAATTAAACAAAGAAATAAGACAAAAATTATTTGAAGGACTAGGAGGCTCTGAAGATTCCCCACTGCAATTATGCACTTTTCTGAGTATATCAAGGGCATCGCCAGTAGCTCTACGTTCTTAAAAAGGCGATTCTGCAAAGGTTCTTTAGTAAAGGGAACAGTTCTATTTAGAACCATGATATTCTATTTAGAATGATTTTGTGCCTAAATGGTTGTTTGAATGGTGAAATTGTTCTTCAGGTTGATGGAGAATGTGTTGTATACGGTTCTATATAGCACCAAAAAGAGTTATATTGTTAATCTTGACATCGTAAGAATAGAAACCTTTTTGGTGCTATATAGAGCCATTTTCGAAAAGGCTCTACATAGAACCATATACAACACATTCTCCATCAAAGAACCATTTCACCATGCAAAGAGCCATTGAAGCGTGAACTCATGGTTCTAAATAGAACCATTTACTTTACTAAAGAACCCTTAAAGAGCCATCTTTTTAAGTGTGTAGTACTCAGAATATTCAGTTGTTCAGCTTCTGTGTAATTTTCTGTTAAATGCATGTTTTCTTGAATAACATAATAGATGTTTTGGCTGGAAATTAAATAAATGAACTATGATCTTTGACTTTTGCACAGAACTATACTTACTTCACATAAATCCACACAATGTTATGTTTCAGTTTAGTTACTGTTGGCAATAGTTGTGTTATGGGAAAATATAATAAGCAAGTGGAAATGAATTTGAATCAGTTGAACAGTTGAATCAAGTAAATTCAGTGTGTTACATTTTCAGTGTTAGTTTTCCATTTCATTGCCTTCGCTTGCTGTTTCCCATCAGCACTTCTTCCCTGTTTTATCACACCCTCTCTGTCTGTCTCCTCCTATTCCGGTCTCTCCGTGTCTATTAGCCGTCTCCTCTGTCACTCCGCGTTCACTTCAACGCACCTCGCAGGAACGAAAGTGCCACAAAAACAGACCATAATAACCCACGGCAACTCTGCGTGCCATCTCATACACACTGCAGACGCATCAGATCATACACAGTCTGACATGCACCTTCAAGAGCCACACACACACACACACACTACCACACTGAGCGACCCAAACACACGAACATACATACAAATGCCAGCCGATGCAGAATAATTAAGGCATAGCACACGTACATGCAGATACACACACACACACTCAAAGAGCATAAACATATAGTGCTGTGCAAAAGTCAGAGACCACCTTTCATTGTATAATTTCCAGTCAAATCAGATGTTATCACAGGTTATTCATTTTCAAACAAGCAGGGAAATTACACAAAAACCTCAATGACCGTATATATATATATATATATATATATATATATATATATATATATATATATATATAAATATATACCTACTGTCCTTTATATTTCATGACGAATGGCCCAAAAGTATGTGAAAAAAAAAAAATATGGTTCCATTGACTTACATCAACAGTAAAGTATGTTCCTTCTCCAGCACTGCTGTGTCTGATCCACTCGTACCAGCACAACACACACTAACACACCACCACCACATCAGTGGTACTGCAGTGCTGAGAATGACCCACCACACAAATAGTACCTGCTCTGTGAGGGTCCATGGGGGGTCCTGACCACTGAAGAACAGGGTAAAAGGGGGCTAACAAAGTATGCAGAGAAACAGATGGACTACAGTCTGTAACTGTAGAACTACAAAGTGCACCTATATAGTAAGTGGAGCTGATAAAATGGACAATGAGCATAGAAACAAGGAGGTGGTCATATTGTTATGCCTGACTGGTATATATATATATACTTTGCTGCTGTTGGACCAAAACCTTGTATCTCCAAAACGGTAACTTTACAGGAGAAGGAAAAAACCATACTTTACTTTTAATGTAAATCAATGGAACCATAATTTTTCCCATGTAATTTTGGGCCATTTCTTGTGGTTCATTTGTCATGAAATTTACACACAATAAAAAGGCTAGAAAAAAAAAAAAAAAAAAAAAAAAAAAAAAAAAAATATAATATATATATATATATATATATATATATATACTGCTTCCGTTCTTTTTAGGAGGCTTATTTTCATTGAAATCTGTAGCCACACCTCCAAAGTTCAGTCTTAGAAGTTGGTTGCATTTCATGATTCTCATGATCCTGGTAATCTCTAACTCATTATGGGGACAGTTTTGTTGGTCTACCAGGTCTTCCAGGTGGTTGTTAGGAGTATCTTTCAGAGTATCTTTCAATCATTTTTTGAACACCCCACCCCCCCCTTTTTTTAACTTCTGCTTTTTCACTTATTTTTGTTCTTTATCTTACAGTTTATCTTGTCATAAATATCTGTTAAAAAATGAATAACTTGTACTTAATTATCATTTCAACCAGTAAGTAAATCAATGAAATGTGGTCTCTGACTTTTGCACAGTCCTGTATATTCCTGGTCTATAGCATATTGTACTTAAATCTGAACTAGGGGCCTGTGCATTTATTTAGATGATTACTCTTCCAAGTGTTTACTGTTTTGAACCATGACCAGTTATCAGTGGATGACGTTTGTTGTTTGTTTGTTGTTTCACAGTTCTGTTCACATGGAAGAGTCCTCAGCAGTGATGCAGGGAGCGCAGGGCGTGCTGGTGCAGAACTGGCCAACCGTGTCCAGTGCTGCAGGTGAGACCACGCTTCTTCCCAAATGGAGTCAGCTTTGAGTGTGTTTCACAGTGGCGTATCCACAGGCAGGGCAGGCCAGGCAGTGACAGTGAAAATGTGACACGTAAACAGTGTCAGAGTTTTAAAACATTTGGTTCACTTAAAAAAAAAAAGCGGAAATAGGGAAAATAGCCTGTTTCAAAAACACTAGTTCATCGTTATTCTGTTGTTACAAAAGCAAGCACTTTTACACAAATCAGTGTATTACATCAGTTTAGACCCCAAACAATTCACTATGAAGTTATAAGGGGTGTTGCAACTCCGAATGCTTTTTGAATGAGGATACAGGGCAGCCAATCAGAACAGAACAGAACCGAATCTTACAGAGTCTTAAAGGCACAGTAACAAAAACATCTTGTTTGTTTCTGTGGGATGAAAAAGGTTGGAACATGGTCATGTAAAAATTGTGAATGGTTGTTTTAGTAAATAAACACATACAAATGTCATGAGTGGACTTTTATTGGGTATTAGATCTTTTACACCACTGGTAATGCACATAATATGTATGAAAATGGTTAAAAAAAAAACTGAAGATAAAGGGGTAATACTGCAGTGACAGACATATGCTGATGAATGGAGGCACAGAATGATGAGAGGAGCTGCAGAAGAATATTAAATAATTTAGAAAGTTATAACAAAAGTGAAGAGCAAATCTCAAAGCAGATTACTTGACAAAAATGACTGTAAATAAATAATTACAGTATATTATTTAGCATTTAATAACTTCTTATATACTTATATAATTCCAGAAATATTGAAGAAAACAATTTAAAAATACCACTTGTAATATTTCAATTTGCACTGTATAAGTTGATGGACTGGTGACCCTGTCCAGGGTGTTTTCCGCCTTCTACCCAATGACCACTGAGATAGGCTCCAGCATCCAGGAGGATAAGGGGACTTGTGTGTGTGTGTGTGTAAAAGTTGTAGTTATATATAAAATATCAACAATTGTTAATATGGCAAGTGATTGCACAGTAGTATTTATTTGTTTTATTTGTGTTTGTTTGTTTGTTTAAACATAACATATTTCATTTTGAAAATGTTTGAAAATCCCCCAACTTTCTTTTAGCCAAACCAAGACTGGCTTTGGTCTACCTTTCTTTTTAAACATAACCAGTGTGGAAAACACCATATTCATGTTATTCACAACCATCTGAGGGGGAGTTGGGGTGGGGGGGGTGTTTGGTGCATGCTCTGCACATATGAATATCTCAGGTGAAAAGTGCAGGAGACCTTGTGTGTCTGTATTATGTACAGACTGAGGTGGATTAAGGCTGAAATGAGGTTAAAACGCATCTGAGACACAGATTTTCCAGGCCTCAGTGACTTGGTTTAAAAGGACAGCAGCTTGGTGAGGCAACTATGAGTCTCAGATTCAATCCGAGAAATGATACGCAGTCATAGATTTCAGCCAACGGAACACTCAGGGGTCATGACCGAAGGGTCTTCCCATGTATGCTTTCACCGAAAGAATTTCCTGTGTAATTTAGTGTTGTGTTTATCAAGTATACCCTTCAGTCCAAGTCGACAACAAAACACATAATTAACTCCCAGATGTGCCTCATTATTAACTGACACTGTAATTTAGTTTATTTTGGAAGAGGAGAGCATGGACAGTCTCCCGCTGAGTTATCAACACCACATTTAAATAAACCTTAACTTTCTATTGGCTCTTTTGAGCCCTGTGTCCATGTTCCACCCACAGTTGCATTCTTTCATAGCAACTGTTGTGAACTTGGATGCGGGAAGCGGAGGTCCAGAGGGTGCTGCAGCAACCCCTAGATTTCAGGACTGGAACCGATAAAATAATAATAATCATAAAAATATTCTGAATAATAATTCTCATAATTCTCATAATAATATAATAATTTGAGCACAGTAAAGACCCATGTGTGCTTGTTTTAGAGTGGAGTTTGTATTGTTATGTTTCATTTATAGCCATTACTCTTTCAGTTAATGCTGCATTTTCATTACAGTGAGCTGAATTGGTTTCCTTGACAAATGTTGTCTTCTTTGGGGGCAGGTCTCTAAAACAGACGCAGGTCGAGGGCACGTGTTTGACGTGTATAACTCTCTTCTAATGTACTAATAACATGTAGATCAACCATTATAACCCGCTCAGTGTGTGTTCCAATGTTAATCTCAGTGTGTGACTGTGGACATGGCGCAGTCGGTTACCGTGCCACACATCAACAATCTGATTGGTCGTCGATCTGATCATTTGCATAAAGTTTGTCCAAAGAAAAGTACGGAAAGTCAGTGTGCCTCAGTGTTCTGATGTGCCTGGTATATGCTGTCATCTCTGGCCTCATCGTAGCACGCTATGAAACATTCTGTTTGATGCAAATTATCACATTTTTTTTATTAGGTTGAATGGATAACTGGCTCTAAATGTAGGTATTGTGATATAACTGAGTCTGTTCTACAGTTTCTCATTAGGCTGAATGAATAACTGACTCTAAATGTAGGTATTGTGATATAAACTGAGCCTGTTCTACAGTTTCTCATTAGGTTGAATTAATAACTGACTCTAAATGTAGTTATTGTGTTATAAACTGAGCCTGTTCTACAGTTTCTCATTAGGTTGAATTAATAACTGACTCTAAATGTAGTTATTGTGTTATAAACTGAGCCTGTTCTACAGTTTCTCATTAGGTTGAATTAATAACTGACTCTAAATGTAGGTATTGTGATATGAACTGTGTCTGGTCTACAGGCTCTAAATGTAGGTATTGTGATATGAACTGTGTCTGTTCTACAGGCTCTAAATGTAGGTATTGTGATATAAACTGTGTCTGGTCTACAGGCTCTAAATGTAGGTATTGTGATATAAACTGTGTCTGTTCTACAGGCTCTAAATGTAGGTATTGTAATATAAAAAAGCTATGAAAGAGCACATATGTAGGTGGAGCAATGAGAAGTCAACTGTATTATAGTTGTGACTGGTGGGTATTTAATCCTCTGTCTGTAATTGCTCATCTTTTTTGTGACATTTTCCCCTAATAACAAGCCTGACTACCTCTTAGCAGTCTAATTTGTACAAAGGCAGGTCAAACACTGCCTCACCTTCTGCCAAAGAAGCAGGTGAGATGGAGCAGGCCATTAATTTTCAGCCATTTAATGACCTTGTCACAAATAAATTGTGTATTCTAATTAACGTTGGGATTATTAGGGATTTGGGAGCCTAGCAGAGTAATAATGGAAACAGAGCAGTTTTTTTTTTTTTCCCTCCTGTGAGATTTGAATGTCATGGTGCAGGACTGAGGATGGGTCAGTGAGTGCACAGCGTTCATATTCAGTAGTCCTCACAGATATGGATAGACAGAGGGAGATCGATCTGCTGTCCCATTAGAGAGAATAGACAGAAGCCGTGGATCTCCTGGGTGGTAAATGACTGAAATATCGACAGTCTGATTAAGCACAGCTGGAATGGACAGTGAGGTAGATAGACAAGGAAGGGCGGAAATCTATTAAGTTGATGTACCTGGTTGCCGCTACCCTTAGAAGTCTTTTGTTGAAGTTATTGCTGCTGATAACAAAAGCATGTTGCTTTGTTGTATGAATTATTGGTTACTCTTTGCACATTGCAAATTCTTTTGAAGGTGCAGATTCTAAACTTTCAGTCCACATTTGTGTTTGTAAATAGAAGATGTGATATTTTATAGTGATTTTCATTTTCTTAAATGTTATGTTTTGTGCTGTGTGGTCAGAGGCCACCCTTCATTTACATGATTTCCATTCAAACACCCATTAAGTTATTCATTTTTCAATGTGAGGTGTCCATGTTTTGCCCATATCACAGCCTTCATCTTTTTGTTAGATTTGCTTTCAGTTTTGCACAAAAAAATATATATATATTTTTTTTTTTCACTACAAAGTTCAGTCTTAGAAGTTGGTTACCTTTTCTACTTTTCATGATTCAATAATGCAGAGGTATCGTATTGTTTTTGGCCATTTCCTAATCTTAGTATGGGCTTTCTGACAGCCTTTACAGACCCATAGCATTAAGTTGTCTTCTCATAGTGGATTTTTCAGATCTGAAACAAGAATATAGCTTGTTTTTCTCTGAAAAATGAAAGCATTCCAGGCTTATTACATGCTAAAGCTTATTATTCAGTAACTACAAGGACTTCAATGCAAACAAATTGAGCTTTTCTTAGGGTATAGAAGTGTGTAATAAAACTTTGGGCCTGCAAATGGACCCAGGGCTTGGCAAGAGGTTCAAATACTTAACAAAATTGTTTTGGTGGTCTATGAGGTCTTGCAGGTGGTTGTTGGGAGTCCCATTTTTTCTGTCTTTTAATGATTTCTGAACAGTTTTGGAAACTCTTGATTTTTTGCTTATTTTATTTTGACTTTCCCCTTCCTTGTGTAAGTTGACAATCTCATATCTAATCTTCTCAGAAATATCAATGAATGAAAATATAATGAAACCTAAGGGCTGTTTAAATTGGAAACTAACTAAATGAAGGGTAGATTCTGACCTTTGCACAATATTGTACATAGTCTTGTTTTGTAGAAAGATAGATACTGTACATTTTTACCCTGATCTAATTTCTTAACATCAGTTTCATTTGACTAGTAAAGCCAAAACGAACTGGTAGCTCTCAACATCTAAAGACTAAAGACTCGTCCTCATCCTCATCCCTTCAAGAGAACCTGATACACATATGCACTTCTTTATTCTCTGCTTTGTGTTGGGCTCACTAGGGTGATTAGTGCCAAGCTGGTATTGACTTGGTGCAGATGTGTTGTGTAAGCATTGCTTTGCTTTAGTCTACACTGGATGGTAATATATTCAGCTCAATACTCCTGTGCAGTGAGGGAAAACAGAGCCACGGAGGAGAAGAGAGGAGAGAAAAAGACTGAGATGCACAAGCATAGGAGATGGATAGATGAGGATGCTACACAGTGAGGTATATGAAGGATGAAGAGAGGGCGAGAAGGGGGATGTGGGG